TACTGCTCAGTCACAGTCACTAATAACAAGACAGTGCAACACAGCACAAGGCCAGCAGCTGCCCTCACTAACACAACTGCTCAGCAGCAGCTACAGGGACAACACAGAGATTCTATTATTCCTCCTGCAGCCTCCTAGAGCTACTRATTCTAAATTAAACCATTAGGATTCCTTATACTTCCCGTAACTCTTAGCTCACATTAATTTATGCAGTTTTGTCCCTTACTGGTTATTTCAGATACAGCTTTCAAAATGTGTTCACAAGTGTAAAGACCAGAAAATGACATTTTGTGTGTTAATACTGGGGTAGCCCACTGCAGATTAGATGTGAAACTGTAAAAAAAATGGACAATTTAGGAGACTTCCTTCTCTGGACAGATAAGAGGAGCTCTTTAGAGTCACTCATTTTAGTTTCCTGGTGTTATGAGACCATTGAGGCCCRAATTACTTTCCTCAGAAATGCAGCAGTAGTTTCCTTTTAGAATCTGATTAATGCTRTTCTGTCAATACAGGGAAGAAGGATTAGCACCATGTTTGTCACAGTAGCTTTGAATTCTAGAATAATTTTACTAACTTGCAGACACCGATGGAGGGATAGCAATTGCCATTTTGTTAAGTTAAAATGAAGGGTAAATAATCTATTTTACCTGAAGGAATATGCCTTTCCAGTCGCATCTCATGTGCTTGTGACCACTGGAGAAAGCAAAAAGGATAGGGACTACATTTTGATCTCTGGCTTAGCATCTTCTTTCTGGATTGTTTAATCTTCATCATTGGCCTTTCTTGAACCATGCAACCTAAATGTATCTGCTGAAGAACAGAATCAATCTTCTAATTTTTTTTCCTCGTGACCTTTGCATCTCTTAGTTAATTCGGCACTTTTTGTCTTCAAAGCAGATCTCTCCCTAAGATGGCCCATCTGGTACAGGAGGTGGTCATTTCAGTCACTCATTTTCAGTGGTGTCAATAACCAGCAACAAGTCAATTGCCTAAGAGCTGGMAGAATTTTTTTTCCACATACATATTTTCATAAATTCTGTTTTGCAAGCTTTGTATGTGTATGCTAGTAGCAGAATGGCAGGAGATAGAGTAACTGGTAACTGAAGCTGATTAACAATTTCTTATGCAATAATTCCTGGGAAGGAAAGATCACAGCAAACTTGCCGCCACCTATAAAATGCTCTTCCTTCAAAGCTGAACTGCTCAGTTTACTTTTGTATTCTTACCAGGAAAAGAAACAAGTGTTGGCATTTGTAAAGCACCCTGAACTTTAAACGCTATGCACATAAATACCAAAGAGGAAGTATAGAAAGAAAAATCCTTATCACCTTAGAAATAAAGAAGAAAYAAAGTGGTAAAGCACCAAAGCAATTCCAAGGTAAACCTGGTAAGTTTTAGAGCAAATGAAAAATTAGTTAATATTAAAAAAAAAAAAAAAAAAAAAAAAAAAAAAAAAATTTAAAATAAAAAAAAAAAAAAAAAAAAAAAAAGTGAATGAAAGATTTCTGCATTTCCAGAGGAATGGGTAGCAAGGTGTTTTTTAATACTTAGGTGTTGCAACAGAAGAGCAAGTACTCTCTCATTTCACAGAGAAATAAGATCCCAGTGAAGCAGCAGGGGATCCTGAGCTTCCTAGCAGACCCGTTGGCAAAAAGSAAAGAGACTATTGGGAAACTAGCTTCCACACGCCAACTTTAATTTTCATGATTCTCAGAATCTCATGTGCCACATGACACAGCAAATTATTTGAGCCTTATGTACTATACTGGGGCCAGAAGACTTTGTTTATAAAAATACATCAAAAAAGGTCCACTAAAGGAAGAAGTCTCCCAGCCTTAAGTGGAAACAACTTTACACAGGAAGTTTCACATCTCATACACAGAATGGAGGTCCTTGAATAATTTAAATTAAAATAAGACCTATTCACTGCCTTAGAAGTATCTGATATTCAGGAAGGTCCTCTACATAGGAATGGATTTAATTTATTAATCCCCTATTAATTGTGCTAATTAAATATATTTTTATCATTCATTATATATTTAACCAATATATTTCAGATATTTAATAATTTAATAACTTTAGTCACACTCAAGTCTAAATCAAGAAAAAGGAATGAAGCACAAGTCTACTGTTTATGTAATTGCTTGAAAAGAAACCACCATCAGCAACAGTGGCAGCCAAGGAACTCAGGAACAGCAGCACCTGTTCATTCTTGCTTTATACTGATCACCCAAAAAGCTTAAGAAAAACATCAGTGATCAATAGCAAGAAAAAGGTGCTTATTAAACTTTGTGTTATTTTGTGAGAAAGCATACTATCTTTAAAAAAAGCACTGCCAACTTGCAGCCCTTGAAGATTTTAGACTATTGTACACTTAGTTCAYTAATGAAATCATTAAGGATAGGTCAGCAGTTTGGAAAAAAAACTCTGGAGCGACATCTCCAGCAACAAGAAAAGTTGCTTTAAAAACTGAAGAACATACGCTAGACATAAACTAGCAGCTTCACATACCAGRAAACTGAGGATCTAGGCAAAGCTATTAAAATGAAAGCATTTGCAGTGAAGAGAAAACATCAGAAGTAGCAACAGGGAGAGAATTCACATCTACATGACAGGGTGTGAGCTGTTACCAGTTTGACTAGTTTTCTRTTATCCCCAAATTCACAAAACCTTCAGGCTCATAAACCCGAAGTTTTAGGAGAAAAGAAAAAGAATCAAGCAAACCATATGTAGGGGAAACTGTTTTTCATTCTGAAGGTACAGGGTAAAGARACGCAAAGAAAACTGTTCCTGATTAGTAATGTAACAATCCACTACTCAGTTACAAGTAGGAGGTGAAGCGGTTTCTTCCACCTGCCTGTTCTCCACAGACCAAAAGAAAGCCCAAGGCAAAGAACTCCAGATATGTGGGAAAAGGTATTTCATTAATCTGATRCATTTTGCCAGAGTACAAAAACAGATCAGATGCCCAACAAGACTGAATAGCTAATGCTGGAACACATCTRTTGAGAGTGAACTTGTATGCATTTCTCTGCCTAGAAAATGCCTCTTTCCAGAACACTACTAATCTCTGAGCCTAGGCAGAGGAGTGAGAAGATTAATCAAATCACATGATTTAGTTTTTCTAGGAAATGTCCAAGATATAGATTAGAATAACATCAATACATTACACCCAGATTTGTAAACTATTGAGAAAATCCAAACTAAACAATGATTTCTCATGCTGGCTTTAGAGGAAAGGTTTCACTCCTTTTCTGGAAGTGGCACAAAACCAAAAAACTAATTTTATTGTTACTGTTTACCATCATAGAGACCAAAGATGGGTCTAAAMCTAATGTTTGAAGAAGAATGCTCCAAACAGATATCAATATGAYTTCTCACAGGGAAGGGTTAAACTGTAGCCCAGACATTTCCGGAACAAACTCAAACTGAAACCAGAAAAAAAAAAAGATTTAATATGTCATTTTACTGATACCTTCAGAAAGAAACCCACAAAAGTGCAGATGCTTAACAAGTAAAAACTATGTCTGAATCACAAGGAAGGTAATACTAGCTTACCTTATAACAAAAGATTAAAAAATCATTGCTGTCATAGCTTAACAACAACCCAGTTTCCTCACATTAAAACTGTCTTAATTTTCCCCTCATGTTTTACATCATAAGTAAGCCCAGTCAAATAAAAAAAAGAGGTTTGAATATTACATTTACAAAACTATTTACAAAGGATCACAAATAGCCCAAACAATCACTCACTATTACAAGGAATACTTTAAATTAGAAGAAGTTTCACTGTTTCCTACATGTAAAAATAATGCTGAATACCTCTTTTAAATTAATGCTCCCAAAATTCAAAAATATCCCTTCTGTTTGGGGATGGAATCAAATCACAAGCTTTCASAGCTGCCAGTTTTCTCTTCTGCACTTCCATGTTACATTTCCGTTTTCTTTTCCTGTGGTTGGTAATGAGTCTCACATATGTCTACAGAATTTCATGGGTCTGGTATGAGTAAATTAGACCAAGATAATGAGAGGAAAATTAATTAAATCTTAAGAATGTGAAGAATTCTTCATTAAGCCCATCTAAAATATCTAAATTATTTTCAGAGCTAAGTTTTTTTTTGCCTCTCTGACTTCCAAAGGAATCACTGCAAGAAGTTTACACATTGTATGGGTAGAAAGTTCCTTGAGTGACCATGTTTTCTCTCCTAATCTCACTTCACTACAGCCACATTACTGCTAAAAAATCCCCAAAATTTAGAACATGAACAGATCAGTGAAAAGAACARTAGTGCTCTCTGGTCCAGTAATTCTTTTTCTTTGTAGGTAATACACCTTGATACCTGTAATGGCATGAATGTAATTTTTAAAACCTTAATTTTATTAATATGCAATCTGTAGGAAAGTCAGGTAAGAACTATGTAACAGCTGTCTCCCACTAAAAATCAGTTTTGAAGTTCCTTTCATATCAGCTGAAAGACACAATTACTGAGGTTCTGGATGAAAGAGCCAGTACTGCAATTGCTTAAATTCTAGCACGATAGTTGTGCCTGGTTGAGCCTGTGTTTCTGGAGTTTTAATCAGAAAATTTACTGGAATTAACAGTATCTCAGATAAGAGGAAAATAGTAAGTGACTGAAGCTGAGTTTCTTTATGAAGTGTGCAAGTGCTTGCAAGTACTTCTAGATAGTACCTGCTTTCTGTTATTTCTAAATATATTTTTTTAATTATTCTGAGTAGCAATGTCATAAACTATCAGATCTGATTTTCAGGTAAGAAATCTAAGTCTGAAGCACTTTAAAAAACATTACATAAAGAATGAATTAAATAAAATCACTTCCATTGTCATAGAGAATGAACTGAAGAAACTACTTTAAGCATACTCTAGCAGTTAATTGTATAAAAAGCTAAAATTTGTGTTGTGCATGTGCTTGGGATGATTATATGTGTCCATCCACAGAAAAAAAAAAAACTCAAACAAAAAACTTGTTAAAAGTGTAATCCATATATTTTTATTTATAAAAGGTACAGCAAAATATTAATGAATATATGCACACAGTAGATGTTCCTTTGTGGGAACTACACCTTCTTTAGCAGGTGCCATTGTGTGTTCATCAGTATTGCAATCAAATGGCACTCATGCTAATTTCATAATTAATGAAACCTTCCAATACAGTGTCTCATGGCARAGAATCAAGATTCAATATTTTGAATAGTGGAGGTAGAGAACATCTCAAGAAAGAAGAGTCTTATAAAAGAATACACTCAAAAATATTGAAGGCTTTTTCAGTATAAAGAAAATCTTTAAAAACAGAAGATCACTCAAAATCATTTGCAGCAACACTTTCCCTCCACAGGTCTTCAGTAGGTAGAAAATGAAAGTCACATTCTTAGCCAGCTGTGAGCAAATGGATAGCTCAGATTTCTCTTCTYGCTTTGACTGTGCCCTTAAATTCCACTCCTAGTATCTGCAGTTACTGCTCCTCTTGCCACTCAAATCCAAGCTGGCAGTGGGAAGCCCAGTCACTCCCTGAAGCTTCTGGTGTGAGTTACCCACAAGTTTCTTAGATCTAATCCAGACTGGTCATTCATGTGCTAYACACAGACTAATGCCTTTCAGATTTTTTTAGCTGTATCTTAATTCAAGCAGGGACCAAACAAGTCATTAGACAACCCTGGTTCCATGTGAAAGTCTTTAAAAATCTTCTTTCGATTTGATTATTTTCAAAGATCTTGGCTTATGCTTCCAGGGAATTGAGAACTTCAACAACATCAATCACTCTGCTGTCTTCCAACACTTCAACGCTTCTATCATGTTTTCAAAGATTAACATTATCCTCAGAGGTAAGCATTACCAACTGTATTTTCAAAAAAGTATTTGGGCATTATTGTCGCAGCTGATAACTCAGACCATCACAGTCTGGGCCTCTTAACCACTGTACCAGCTGTGCCTACTGTAGTAATCCCCAGGCTTGTAATAAGTCCTTGCTCAGAATTCAAAGCACAAACTAGTACACGATAAGCTTTCATTGTATATATAAGACACAACAGGACACTGACCATTTCTCTTCATTTAAACACAAATCAGTCTTCCGTATATCAATGTTTCCCCTCCCTACTCATACATAGTGGCACCACTTCTCTGCAGCAACGTGGTTACAGACAAAAGTCACAGGAGACGACYGTAATACAAAAGGAAAAAATCTACCTAAACCAAAACAGCCAGTACTTTGTTGGTACTGACTTGCAGACACACAACAAAAAGTCTTTATATATTAAAATATCCCCWATAATTTCCCTGCTCTCCTTGATCTGCTGCAAAGTTATGAGGGTTCACTTAAAACATTGTGCCAATTGCAGCAGAACAGCATGKTGTGGTTGAGGATGAGTAAAACAGAGAGACAGAATGCCTACACAATGTACATAAACACACACATACATAGCCTGAATTTTTCAGTTGATACTTACACAGGGAACAATCTGGGGGCACATATCCTCTTTGCCCCATATGTTCTATACCACTTACCCAAGAGCAAATAACATGCATGAAATCAATCCGAACCACTGGGACCTTTCCTCTCTTCACTGATAACAAGGATTGCATATGGCATGAGTCAATGGTAAATCAAGCCTCAYGATCTTTACAGGGAGTTTTGCCTCATGAAACTACCGGCAGTCACTGAAACATAACTCACAGATCTTGTTGAAATAGCACCCAAGTACAGGTAAATGCAGAAATGTACAACTTGAGATTTGCTTATAGCATTCCTTCCTATAAAATGACTTGCAGTGTTAAAAAAAAAAACAAAAAAACAAACAAACAAAAAAAAAACCCCAAAAAAATCCAACTAAAATTCAGCCAGTCTATGTGTAAAAACATGGTGTGCAAGAATATTTCTGAGCCAGTGAATTGTGTGCATGTCTGTGACAATTGAGGTAGATGTTTTTTCCTGTTCCCAATATGTTCCAGCATATACTTATTTAAGTTCCCAGCGCGGCGATGCTAAACAAACTTGTATCTTCAGTCTCATTMAAGGCAGGCATTTTGTCTAAGTCTTTGACTCAGGAGCAGCATTCACTTCATCCCCAGATTGYGCAGGCTTGCTGCTTCCTCTTAATGTTAAAAATGAGTATCTCAGTCCTCCTGCCATACTAAAGAAAAGAGAATGAACAATGGTGTCAGAGATATCTGATGTTACAGATGTCACCTCATAGGCACATTCCTTTCCTTCTGAAGGACCAAAAACACCAGCTGTAATTAACTAGRAGTGCTTCAGAGCTACATAAACCATCTGAGAAAGCAGCCCCGAGCAGGCAAAAATCAATTACCAGTTTCTCACACAGATTTGTACACACAGATGCAACATATCATCCAAGCACAGAAAGTAAAACTCACAAGTTAAAACTTATATTCAATAGGCACAACTCATTCAGTCAGTGTTCTCACTCCCACATCACTTGGCTATTACTTGGAAGCMTTGCAACTCATAACAAAATGAAAGAGAACCAATTCAATTCCCGCAGTAAAACTGCAGGCATATTTCCACAATTAAGGACATACCACAGTAAGATTTAATATCTGAAAACAGACACGAAAAGACATAACTAATGAACTTTACATCTTGAGGCAGTGCTTCTTCAGGCTAGCAGTTCCAAAACTGCATTATCTAAATGAGCCAAATCAAATGAAACTAAAATTATAGCTCACTGAAAAATTTCCAGCTTTAATAAATAAARGCAATTCAAGTTTCACTTACCAAATATTTAGCCCTATAAAGTTTAACATGGAAAATATGTAATCTCCACCAATCAACATTCCAATGTAAGCGATGGATATATTCTGAAAGGAAACAAAAGTCATGCATTTATTTGAGTCAGATTTTATCTCCATGAATATAAGTGATATAAATTAATTCACTTTTCTAAGGAAATAACTATACTGTGTTGCTGACCACTTTAATAATAGCCTTTAAATTCACTTCATGGAATGTCAGACTTATGGATAATGTGGCAATGAAAAGAATAATAAAATCAGTATGTTTTCTAAATGCATGAATGCACTGAAAGTTACTTTCTGGGAAAAAAAAATAGAAGAAAATCAGCGATTTGATATTAAGGAAAATGGAGCTAAGGCCACCTTTTGAAATTTATTTCTTTTTAATGTTTGGAATTCAAATCCCGTTTTTTTTTAAAGTGGGTTTTGGGCTCTCCATCATTAAAAGGATGCCTTAGAGTAAAAGTTCTTTATCATTACCTTAAGAGGGTTATTTACTTACTTCTCCAACCAAATGCACACTGAAATCACTTGGTATATGTTCAAGATAGGTGCAATTTAAAGTTAAAGATACTACCTTTCACCCACCCCCATCCAGTTTTGGAAAAATTGTTCCCTAAAGATGGAAGGAAAGCTGTAAAACTGTGTGATAATTTTACCAACACTTTGTTGTTTTCAATTTTTTTAGCAGCTCTTCTGGACGATAACATCACTCTCTATCAGCCTCTACTGGAGACTGCTGCACTGTTAACTGCTTCTCAAATTTAAAGCTGTTCAAAGTGTGTCAAAGACTATTATAGCCCAGAAAATAGAAATATTCTTGCTCTGACTTAACGGTTTGATGCAGACACACAAAATTTAAAAGAACAAATTAATCTTGCAACTTTCAAAAAAAGAAAACAAAAATGTAGAAAGGTTAATACAATCCTCCTCTTGCAGATTTTGTTATGCTGAAGGTACTGTTTTCCTTAGTCATGGAAGGGAGCACTTTCAGTACTATTATTCCTGTGCCTAAGCTAGTTTGAATTCTGAAAGTGTTTGGCCCACAACTGCAGAAGCTTTATCCTTTAATAAAACTCTTTCAGCTTTACAGCTATGTGCATCTCTCCAAACCGGCCTACAAAAAAGTGCATTGTAGTCAGGGATGTTCCCAGACATGCTGTCCTCATCATTGCAAAGGAAGATGYACATTGTTAAATTAAAATCGGTTAAAGAAAACAGACTGTAAGGACACCAGGTTTGGTTTTTAAGACATACGTGTTTTGGTGTAGATCAAATTGACCTGAATTTGTACAAACCAAAATGAAATAGTCTGTTCAGCTGGCAGACAAGTTCTCACAGAGAGGCTGAGGCACTCAACCATAAAGCACACTCCATACTTCAGCTTAGCCATTATTCTTTACCTATGAAAGCCCTGTATATCACCAGCAAAGGAAATTAGTTCAGCCCAAGGTAAAAGCAGCTTAGTCTGTATCACTTCACCTGGATTGGCACCAGGGCATCTTGACTAACACAGGGCAACTGAATAAACAGAGGCAGGGAAAGTACCCAATGAAATGTTACTAAACGTTCACAGTTTAATTAAAGTGGTTTGAGTTTCTCTTGTAGGAAACATAAAAATAGATCAATACTAACAATGCTTTCTAAAATATACCTGAGCTCAAATGCAAGAGAACAGGGTCACTTTGTGGTGTGACCTTGTTTGGCACAAGTAGTGTCTCAGCATTAGTCCTCATTTTTAGTTTCCATTTCAAAGTATACAATATGATTGCTGACACAATGTTCTTCCCTCTCTATTTGAGCATTTTTATTTCCCTCTTCTGCTCCATAACTYACCTTGATGGCACCAACTACAGTTGTTGTGAGTGCAGAATTGTAATGACTGCATAAGACAGTAGAATACATCAAGAGAAACCTAAATAAAGAAAAAAAATTTTATAAATTCCTCCCAGGGAGCTCAGAAGTTTAGCAACATTCTGAGAAAAAAAAAAAAAAAAAAAGAAAAAAAATTTTATAAATTCCTCCCAGGGAGCTCAGAAGTTTAGCAACATTCTGAGATATTCATTTTCTAAATCAGTATTTTTCTGGGCTCTATAATCCCACCAGTTTCAAACCCTGAAACAAAATTTCTATGAATCTCTATTTTAAGTTAATGGCATTCAAAATATCATTCAGCATATCCAAATATATGTTAAAATGTGMTACTTGAGCTCTAGCAGAGTCACCCCTTTTCTCTGTGCTTTTTAAATGTCAGTATTTGAATTTTGTTTGACTCCTTGTTTGTGGCATGTGGAAGAGCAGAACAGGATGAAACTCATTCTTCCTTTGACTCTGCCGTTTCAACAGGAACAACGCATTGTTTTATTACTTTTAGCTCTCCTACATTTTCCCTGCTTTAAAGAATAAACACACTGAAACAGCTCCTATACTCAAGGACTTACATGCTATTAACTGCAAAGAAATTAGATGATCAGAAGACAGAGACAGAAGAGAGAGTACAGACAGTACAAAGATAAATGTCAWGATGTTCAGCATTGTACTGTGAGGTCAAAAACCCAGATAGCACTGAACAGCTATTTAAACCATTAGAAATAATTAAAACTCAAGACATAATCCTAGGGGAAAACCCATTTTCTTTGAACTTTAATATAACATATTAGTCAGTCTTACATTTGAGATTTGCAATTTGAAACTGTCATGAAAACATCCTGCTCGATTCCCCTGTGTCCTTACCCCAAAAAGCAGGAAAGAACAAATTGAAAGACAAACAAAAAATTTGTCCAGTGCTGGAAATGTGTTGCCTATTAAAAAAAAAAGAAAAAGAGAGAGAATTATGTGCTTTATAATCAACTGTAAACATATATAAAATGTACTTAATATGAAAATATCTAAATTCACAAAATACATTTAATTCATACCAAAATTATGAACCATTTATATTACTACCGGAAACAATTTTATGCATCTAACTTGAGTGACAATATGATGACAGCAACCATGATATCTAGACACATATCTGTAACATGCATAGCAGTGCAGAAAGACAAGTGCACACTGTAAGCAATGAACATAAATGCAATACAGAAAACTGTGTTTTGGTCTTTACTGACAAATACTAACACTGTGATTAGTAACACATAATAAATAGTGTTGATATGAGACAGACAGAAACAGCAAATACATAAATAATTCCCTCTAAATACATCCCACACACAGATTCATGAGCAGCTTTCAAGGCCCAAGTCTGCATCTTTGAACATTACTAACGTTTCTCAACAATGAAGGTCAATGACAAGGCTCAAACATCACTTTGAAGTCTCCTCCTTAGTSAGTGCAGCAAACAAACAAAACAGGCACTAAGAAATATGTCACAGATTCTTTTCCATTTCTAGTAACTCCCAGATATGCTTCACCTTAATCTGATAAATTTAGACTCGCCTCTGTATGTACAAAATTCAGTTAAGGCTGAACACATCCCTGAGAAACAGAAAAAGGCCATGAGTCCATGCTGAGCTGCAGCCAGCTGAGCCTGTACCATGTGAGGTAGCAAGTAAAAGGGATTTGAGCAACTCTGCCCTGCTGGAATTGTGCTGGTGTGCAACAACAAACAGCAGAGCATAACAGAGAGCCATTCTGGAGCTTCCTTCCTCTTACATTGCATCATGCTTTCCTGTCCTCACAGTGAGCCAGCTGGTGAAGGAGAAATGASTTACTGGGACACCTACAAATTCCAGTCTCTATAAGATTCTATAACCAGCTAGGCGAGCAGCAGCATGTATCTATCTCACAGATGTGGTACTGATGTTTTGACTAGCAAAAGACATACGCTGTGATGGGTCAATGCAAGAAGCTCTGTCAGGGTAAAAGCTGGTCTGAAAATCTAAGTACAAGCGTTAACAATCATTTGCTGACTTGTCATCAGCATTTTTACATTTTCTCCATTTTCTCTGTGATTTGACTTCTGTATGTCACATTGACACTAGTTATCTGCATCATTTAATAGGACCTCTMTTATTAAGCAACCAAACCAATGTGATGCACAGCAAGCACAGTRTATTTGTCTATAAAACATTTAGTCTATTCAGGTAATTGAGCACTATGTTGCTTGCAGCAAATCAGCTAGAGCACAATACACTCTTTTTTTTTTTTTTTCCCGTGCAGTAAACCCAGCAACAAGGTAAACTTTTCTGAGCAGCTGTCYCAAAATGTCTCCAACCCTGCGTGCTGAAAAAGCAGCTGAAACCATACAGGTATACAAACTTTGGGCATCTTTTTCAAGATAGGCAGCAGCTGCGTTTTCCTAAACTGGCACAAAGTCATGCTGCACTAGTGTCATKAAGAGATTTCACATTCACAGCAGACCTAAACCCACCGCTTTCAGGGAATCAGAGTTTTTTGCTTAAAGCTAAAAATACAATGACAAAACCATATGTGTTCAGGACACAACAAAATACAACAGAGAATGCTGCAATTATTTATTACACTCTCCAAAGAATTTTCAGTGGTATATGTCAAACATCTCCAGAAATAAATATGAGTCAGTAGACTCATTTTACTRTTAAGAAAAAGGCAACTCAGCAAGTCTGTGARGGAGCCAGGAAAACCTTCTGGTCTGATACTTTATGTATCAGGACATACTGCCCATGGATACTGTATTAGGAGTACTGGGGAGAGTCTTGCTCTCATTCTAGGAGAATGTAAAATGTAGGTTACCAAACTAGACTGAGACTAAACAGAAATCTGTCCTGGACTAAAGAATGAGAGGACTGGAAATAGTCTGTATGTCTGCAATCTCATTTTAGAGCATATGGCAAATCACACAGTGCAGCTGGATTCTCAATCAACTRCTCTAGATGGGAGCATACATTAGTTCATACACAGACTCACACGAGGACTATCACACAAATTCAGCTTCTCCTTAAGTGAAAAATCGTAAGTTCTTACCTGTGAAGGGCAAGTCCAACTCACACTTTTCAAATACTAATCACTAACATGCAGGTAGAATTACCTCTTCAATAACAAACAAAAAGCCCCACCTTCTCCCCAAACACCACCTGAATAAAAAAGCATTATCAATCTGAGATACGCAATATTGCTACTTACCTGCTGAAAGTCTCCAGTAAAATAGCTAATAGTAGCTGTTGGAATCACCATGAAACAAGCATTATAGAACAGGACACCATATTTTCCCAACTCCTAGGAAAAATGAAACATGGTGTTTGGCATTAAAAGTCATTTGGGAGCAAAATACCACATATTACTCTGACAATTCTTCTGACCCTATTGTYAATGAGCAAACAGAACATAATACTTCTCAATTAAAAATACAACCTTGCAATCCTTGGATTCAGTGCTTCGTACTAAGTTGAATTTCCACTTCAGTCACTTCGTGCACTSAGCAGAGTATTGCTGCTCTATTACACCTTAGACACTTTTTATACAACACCAGGAACTTCCAAARGCACTGGTCCAAAAGTGCTTTACGTTGACTTCACGTAAGACTCTGCCTGGCCAGGGAATTACCCAGTCCATCCATGAACCATGCAAATCAACCATGAAAGCATATAACAGGAGAATGAATGAAGTCTGACTTGCAGATGGAGATCTGTAATCACTGGTAATTGATGGAACTTTATGAAACCTGAGGATTTCCATATATCTTCTGGTTAACTTGCTTGACAGAAAGACAGAAAATCAGGAGAAATAAAAAATAGCTTTCCCTGCCTCCAGATTCARCCATGCTATTTAGCAAATCTCCGAAGCCTACTTTTTCTCCTGCATTTTGCAGAAAAACTGTGAGGCTGTTAAGAGCTGCTTGTAAATAAAAGTGCAGTCTGGCACCAACGTGATATATAAGATTATTAAAAGACATATATTTCTGCTGTATGGAGTCAAACACAGAAGTCAGTGATCAAATTTCTATCCTAGACTGCTCTTGCTATGGCTTGGTATGTTTCATGGCACTGTATTTGAAGAGCAGCCTGCTCAACATTTACATAAGTAATATATATCAAGGTTTTATCTAACTCCTTAGTATACCTGCCTTTGCTGTAGACTTGATTTTAGATAACCAAAAAAGRCTACAGCTACTGTGGTTATTGGCTCAGGCTGAGCAGTTCCCTGTTTATCTTACAAAAGCCTCACTTTAACTGTGTTTCTAGTTAAAAAGCCATCCTCCTGATATTAATATATATCAAATTCAAATATACAGGTACACTGTTTGTTTATGGTTTGCATTTATGTTTTTTTTAGTAACCACAAACTCTGCCTCAAAGATTGGGAGAAGATAAAATACACTGTTTGTTTAACAAAACCTGGCCAGAGATACAATTTTTTTCCCAGGAAGTTCTGTATTAAGGATACATATATCAACTGACATATGGAAGTAAATTAAACTATTTATTAGTTCATAACAGTAAGTACATAAAGGTCATATAATAAGTATCCCATTGTTATCATATTGTCTGTAGACTAATATGATAACGATTATATGATTATAGCTAATATGTCATAATGCTAAATTCAATCTCGTCACCTCACAGTTACCTTTGGATCAATTTTCTGCTTTGTATAAACTCCATTTGCTGCTGTGAAGATATCGTTTAGCAACACAAAGATGTAGCCCTCCAAATTGAAAGACAGATCAGACCTGGGAAAGAAATATTATATGGTAAATAAGCAAAAAATATGCAGTGAATTCTATTACCTTGCTTACCTAGACAAACATTGTAAATGAGGATATGCAAATCCTGTGAACTCCAGTAAGTCAAGCCTTCTTTGTAACTCAAAGTCCTTTACATTTCTCCAGTCATAGGACCATCACAAATGAGACATCAGAGAGTTCCTAGTACTTAGTGTGAAAGTGGCAGGAAATGTTCAGTTTTCATTTAGAGAAAAATTCCTCATCTTAACCCTGACAACCAGTCCAATTATTACTGACTGTACTTACCTATTTCTTTTAATACAAAAAGTAGCTAGGGAATAAAATCTGTTTTTACAGTCAGATCAGACATATTGTCATCCTTTCTGTTTTGACTAGTTACCTCATTGAAATCRGGTAATTAATTTAACAGGACATGGCTCTGAGTCATGTCACATGGAAAATATTTCCCCATGTTCATAGGAAAGCCAGGAAACAAACAAAACATTATCTTGTTGGGTAATGTTAGGTTAAAAAATATTCAAACAGAAAGAAAACAGAGGAAAACAGCATATAAGTGCTTTGTGAACTTAATCTCACAATGGAACTTACTAAAAAAAAGTAGGSTTTTTTGTGATTAAAAAAAGAGACAATGCCTAGCTCCACATTTGACAACCAAAATGTCGGTCTTTCTACCCAGAACAAGAATATACTTTTCCAAGATTATTAGAATAGACTGCYACTGTGAACCAAAAGCAACATTACCCCCACAGTTTAACTTGCTTCACTTAACAATCCTGCAAACGGAAAAAGACACACCCAAAGACTTCCAGCAGGAATTAAAATTTTCCTTTTGTAAACGTGCACCTCCCAAGGATGTCATTTGAGAGATTTTTCAAAGCAAATTTATCCAGAGAAACTAATCTCAACTAAGGTTACTTGGAACTAAACATTGAAAAAATCCTCCTATTGTCCCTCCCCTCATAGTATGGCTTTGTGTAAGAAATTAAAACCTTACCCAGCAGCTATGAAAGCTCCAAGAATGATGGTAAATACACTGACTATAATATTCAGTGGGTACCGTTTCCTGTAGGCAAAAATTGAAACAGTTCACATTTTCATTATTTGAAACAGAGATTAAATGGCTGTCTACCTGAAAAGTGCAAAAGCAATTAATAATCACAGAACATTTAACAGGAGGGCAAAGTCTTGACAGCCTTACAGAAACAACATGATTGTCCCTGTGCCACWCTGTCACATGGCCAAGGCTTGGCCCTGAGAACGGAGATTGAAAAAGCACTGTAAGCGCTCTGGCACTAGATAATTATAAAAGTAGAGATTAAAGGTTTAAAGTAAYAGCACTGAAACACACTAATTTAATGTATATTGCTATTCATAACAGATATATTTCGGAGTCTTCCAACAATCCAATATAGGAAAATTATTGTACATCTCTCATGCAATTTTTCATACTACCTTTGTTGGGGAAGATACCACACTGCACACTGGATTATATTCAAATAGATGCTTATTTTGAAATCAGACTGAAACTTCATACTTGAAAGGGAAAGCATGGAGTTTATGATATTCTTCACTACATCAGTGCTGGTACAGAGCAGTGTAAAGCATACTGTAAAACTATTCTGGTTTTTATATCTACATTTCTTTATTTGGAAGTATCTTAAGTACTCATTTTTTGCACYATACTCCAATATGCCTTACAGACATTCCCCTAGCTAGACTGAAAGAGAAGATCCATCAAAACAAAATGCACAATGGTGTTGAAAAAATGCTCTCAGAGAAAACCTGTGTGTTAAAGGAGSACATCTGTCAACCACTGTCCCAACAAAAAAGCACTGGGCAGACTCTAGATATATTAGGTTTTTATTATAATGACTCTCAAGAGTAACAACTCAAAACTTGACTGTTTCAAAAATCCTAGCATGAGCCTGACACAGACTCTCTAGAGTCTTTTAATTTTCAGCCCTAAGGAAATATACAGTCAGTCTGTACCAGTACAGCATCCTGCTCCTAAGCTTTCCTTTGGTTAGGGTGCTCCTTGCACTCATAGTCTACATTGTTGCTCTCCAACTGAACACACATGATAATCTCACTAACTCACTTTTTTTTCACTTGCTTATGGGAGTCTTCAGGCCAAGAGGGAAAGACAGCTAATTTTGCTTTCCCTGGGAGAACTAAAAACTACAAAAGAATTCCACAGCATCCCCAAATATGAATCACATTGATCAACTAGCTGCTACTTCACCCAAAAGGAGATGACAGTCTATTTGGGAGCTTTTAGAAAAGCTTTCCCCCAACCATCACTCTCGTGTTGCCTGAGTTCAGCATCAGCAAGCTGGTTTTCTCCTTGCGAATTCATCTTAATGCAGCACCTGCCGTGTGGATAGAAGTGTGAAGTTCTAGACAAAGCATGATGTATTTATAGGTCTGTTCCACCAACTAAGTACAACTGAAACTAGAGATCCTGAGAAGCCAGCATATCCTTCTTAATTTCCCTGAAAAATAACATGTCTGTAAGAAAGGAGCTCTGTGACCTAGCAACCATTAGATACAATTTTGCTTCATTAACCTGATATGTTTTCAGACTTGACCCAGACAGCTTCTCTACATAAGCAGACGGTCATGCTATCAGCACTGTTTGGAGACATAAGGATCTGTCTGYTTGAAGCAGTCTGCAGTTTAGGAGCCTCCAAGATGAGACACAAACCACTGAAAGTTGTGTTGGCTTATCTGAAGCCTGCGCAACCGTCTAGAGAATGAGATGTGAAAATGAAAGCAAGCTGATTTTTTTCCTATCAGCAATTTCCTCTTTTTTTTCTCTCTCTCTCTTTTTTTTTAAGAGGAAATGACTGCAACTATGGTGCAAATTCATATGTAGCTCTCATTTATGTGACTGTTCAYGACCACAGCTTCACTGATGTCATAAAAAGAGTTGCAATCCACGACTAATGAGACTTAGAATAGATTTAGAGTAAATGTTAATTAGTTTTATTCTAGTTAGTATAATCCTAAAATTAATATCCATTTTAACATTTAATTTTAGGTATAAAAGTACCATTAATAATAGCAGCTAAATATGCAGGCGAAGAGGTGGAATAAAAAAATTAAACTGTAAGTATCCTGTGCTTYTCTATTCCACATTTATTGGTACAACTAGACATTGCAACATTTTAAATCTACCTGAAACATATATTTCTATGTCTTCAAAAAAGCTATATAAAATCACTTTCTTGCTTTTCTCTATTTGTCAGTAAAAATCACTCATTCAATATTCTGATGAGACGACAAAATCCACATAAATGGACAATCCTTGACACATAATCCATGACAAATAATCCATTTGATATAATCCAAAATAAAGGTATCTTAAATGAAAAAAAAAACCCAAAACAAAACAAAACAAAACAAAAAACAAAAATGATCACCCCAGTATGATGATTTCCAGCAGTAAAGTAAGTGGAATGGCAAACTTCCTGAGCACTGTAAACATCGGCAAACTGTCAAAAAAAACAAAATAAAAAATCCAAGCACAGTGTAAGATTAACAGCATTCTTATGTTCTTTATGTTCTAATTCTTATTTTACTAACCAGAGGATGGAATAATTAGTCCAACAATAAGAAACCAAAACAAATACCAAGTCACTCAGCACATACATAAAAATGTCAGTSTGACATTAGATGCACATTAGACAACCAAATAATTGAAAGATAACAAGCTTTGCCAATTTGGAAACCAGTGCAACTGGCTATGTTCTAAAGGTGCCTCTGCATTAGTGAAATGGAATGTAATAAGTATTTTCTACCAAGCATAACCCCTATGAAATAATTCTTTCTGAAAAAATTCAAGGGCAGAATTAAATAAAAATTATTTMTATTGTAAACTTAAGAGGACAGACAATAAATCTATCTCTGCAAACATGTAACAGAAATAAAATACAATGAAAACATGCTTAATAAACAAACTGTAGCTTCAAAAAAGTGAAATAAATCCGTGACAAAAAATAAGAGGTAATATAAGAAACATGAAAGATGGGACCAGCTGYAACCAAATAAACTGATACTATTGTACAATATATTACTGATCTTCATGAAGTAATGCAGTTGTAAACCTTTCTGAGTAAGAAAGGACTTCCATCTGACACTTTGGAAATGTCACAGTATGGCCATACGGWCCAATTAATTCCCTGCTTAAGATAACTATTAATCATTGCATTAATAAATGGCACAAATCCTAACACACAGTTTAATAACTTTACAACAGACATTTTGAATTTAGGCATAGGACCATCTACACCTTCGAGAACCCAAACAAGGTGGAGAATTCCATAATGTAAATAAGTGTCATTCATCGTAACAAAATGCAGTGTAACGAAATGTTAATTGTAGAAACACTGGAGCCATTTCTGTGTTACAACTATTGAATCTAGAAGAGATATACCAGCCACAGGAGAGAGAGAACGTGCATTTATACACMCTACTAAACATTGAAATTTATAGTCAGAGAAAATGGAAAGAAAAAGCCAGTTTTTACAGGATTGAAATTACTTTCATATTCACAATGGCAAAGTGCTACTAGGGACAGTACTACCTAAGTCATTATGTCCACTTCAGGGGAACAACTTGAGAACATATTCAACGAAGAGTTGCAGAGTCAGGTGTCTAGTGYTCCTAGCTAGAGAATATTAATTCTATAGATAAAAAGAAATGTAAACAAACTAAAAGTAATTCGTTGGGGGACCTCATCACTCTCTACAACTCCCAGAAATGAGGCTCTGGTGTTCCTACAGTGAGAGTGTCAGAGCCAACGGCCTTAAGCTGAGACTGGGGAGATCCAGACTGGATATTAGAAAAAAATTGTCACTGTCAGAGTGATCAGAAATTAGAGTGGACTGAACAGGGAAGTGGTAGASTCACCAACCCTGACAATTGGATCTGGCACTAGATGATAAGGTTACTGGTCCASGTTTACTGTCCTAATGCTGGGTTCATGGTTGGACCTGGATGATCTTAAAGGTCTTTTCCAACCTTGACAATTTTTATCATTCTGTGATTCTATTTTCTTTCCCAGCATCTGTCTCATAATTAMAAAATGTAACAATCCTGCAAAATTCTGTTTTGGTTTAGCTTAGCACCAAACCCTAGGGAGACTGCAATGACACAAAAAAACACCATAATGGTATCTTTCAGTCCTGGTGCAGCCATCATGCTTCTGTGCTCCTATTCCACAGAAAATACAGTCATTCATTCTATTACAGCACACATCTACATTATTTACACCTTTTTAGCACTCGYATGCAAGCAACTCTCATGGGTCTACGCTTTCAGACACACAGGAATTAAGGTATCCTTCAGCAATGCTCCCCAATTATCTGCTTTTGGTGCTCAGCAGGGCTAGGCCACCACCACTACCCCATTACACTGCAATATTTTCATCTTTTGGCGATTCCAAAATGCCTGCCATGACATTATGGTACAAATACTGTCCTAATGCTTCTTCCTTCAGAAACATCTTACAGTTTTCCAACTCTCTGGCTAGGACACACAGGAAAAGCTGGACACTTGGGTTTGAGGAGAAAGTGAAAGCCCTTTCATGGTCACATGGGAATATTGTGATTTTATGTTAGTATGGGTCTGGCTAACCTCCCGTGAAAGAAGTAGACAACTTGCAAACAGATCAAATGATTGGGTAAAAATTTCGTAACAGTACCAGGAATTTAGACGGACAGGCAGACAGAGAGCACATGAATTTAAGACCCTTGAAAATACTCTTCTTTAGTGGTTTTTTTTTTGACACCACAAGAGAAAAGGGCAAAATCCAAATAGACTACTTAAAACTTCCATTTACTGTACCTGAGTTTTCTGGTACTTGATAATCCACTTAAGTGGTTTCCAATATAAATCAGAGGCAGAGGAAACAACTGTGATAAAATTAAAAACACAACTCAGATTATTATGTTTAGAAGTACTGTTGAGAAATTTTACGTAATACAATTTGATACCTGCAATATCACATGTACTTCTAGCAAGACAGAGGGGTTTTTTTAAGAGGAAAAGAATATAACTATGCTACAAACTCATCTGCAGCTATGTGATCGTTTATGACCACAGCTTCACTGATGTCATTAAAAGAGTTGCAGTCTATCATTAATGAGACTCAGAATAAATTAGAACAAATGTTAATCAGTTTTATTCTAGTTACAACAATCCCCAGATAATACCCTGATTAATTAATAATAAATCATATTATTTATATTAATAATATAAMTTTTAACATTTAATTTTAGGTATAAAAGTACTATTAATAACAGTAGCTAAATAAGCAAGCAGATAGGTGGAATAATAAAATAATAAACTGTAGCTGCTCTATTCTGCATTTATTAATACAGTTATACATTGCAACATTTTAGATCTACGCAACAAATTATACTATCTGGGATACTAGAAAGGTAAGGTAAGTAGGAGTAAATTAAACTTTACCTTCACCAGCTTCAAATATTGACACTGACTTGCACAGAAGCATATGGTATATAACACAATACAGAAAAACAGTAACAGAATTTCAGAGCCTTAAGAAAACGTACAAGGAGCCATGGATCCCCAGAATAATCAGCTGCAATTCAAAGCTATTAATTTTCCTGTTACAGAAAAATTACAGAACGGGTAAGGTTGGAACCTGCAGAAGATTTAAAAGTAATCAGTGGGGACAAAGGTAGTGTGTACATTTGGCCCCATTCACTATCAGTCAAGAGCAGCTGAGATGACAGAAAGACAAAACAGATCCTCTGTCCTAACGTGTAATAGTACCTCTTGTTCCTACACAGGAATACTTCAGGGGATACTGAGTTTGTCAAAAACTATGCATTCTCAAAATTTTGCTGAAAAAGCATACAGAGGAGCAGGCTGCATTTTATGTGTGTTAAAAATTCTGTAAGTCTTTCACAGCAAGAGAGRAAAAAAGGTGAAGTTAACTGATAGTCAACTGAAGTTAACTTTTAAGTGAAAGTCACAGTAAAAGTAAATTGGACTATAAAGAAAGCAGTAGTACAAGTAACAATGAATATTCAGCCTGTCGATATAAGTTTGCAAAACTTTTGTAATGTATCTTGTCTGCAGATTTTTGTTTWGAATATTTTGGTTTATTTCATTTATAGGCTGAAAACAGAGCAGATATTATATCATCTTTCCTCTGAAATTTGTGCCATTGTAAAGACAAAATTACAACATYCAGCACAACAGTAGAGATCAGTGAATCATTTACTTTAAAAGGGTCAGGAACTTTAAAGCTTCCTCACTAAAATGAGTATTTCACTAATTTAAAATTCTAGCTGAAAGCATTGAAGACATAAACCAGTTCAGGAGAGAAAAGTAATGATTATCTTAGTGTCAAAGCAGAAGTTGACAAAAGGATAAGGAGTTGATCTAAGGGTTCCTTAAAAAGTAGGGAAATCAGTGATGAGCAATCCAACTGATTCACTATGACTAGTCAAATCCAGCASTACAAGCAATATGCAATTCTGGGTGCTAAAATGCTGACTTTTCCCAGCCTATCCAATGAAGTCTTCCAAATAGATGTTACTAGGATAAAGAAAATGGGTGCTGTATTTTTTTAATGCCTTTGTGCTTAAGTTAAATTGAAGACAACAGCAGAGAGAGAGAGAGAGCACTGTGGGACTGGGGGGAATGGAGGGAAGAAACTTCTCAAGGTCTCAATAAGTTGTCTACATGTGGAACCCAAAGCTACCTACTGGGAAACCTTCTTTCTCATTCTAAATAATAATGAATAAAGAAGGATAGTCCATTTTATGAATGATATCACAGATTTTACTCCAAGACTTATACATTTAGAAATGCCAATGATTTCAACACGCATTAAGAATAAACATGTCCGTGACATCCATTGTACACCTCATACTGATAGTAAGACAAGATTCTGCAGTAGAAATGCTGGCCTGAAAAGCTATAATATCCCTGCAGCAGGGCTGGAAACTCTCCCTGTGTCCCTGAGCAAACATGACTGATATCCTGCAACAAGACATATACACATGGACTAATGCATCAAAGAAACACTCCAGCAACATTGCACATAGATGCAAAAATCTTCGTAGTCATTTCATGTCTTAGTTCCTAAACTGAGGTAAAAGCAGACCTTTCCACATTTGCTTTATTCTGCTTCTTTGGACCATACACATTCATGGTCTGTATGATGCAGCTAGTCATTACCTAGAGCATTTTCAGTAGGCATTATTTTAGCCCCTCTTATGGAATATAAATTTTACACTGGAAGCCAATTGTTATTCAGGTTTTTCATCTAGCACGYTATTTTTCTATTGTTTTATGACATGCTCCATTCGTATTTCCAAGYGGCCTTTCTCCCTTCCTACTGTGTTCAAAAGTCTTTCACAAACACATATCTTCATTGATCCCACAGAGRCTATATCCAGAAAAACACTTCAGGAATATGAAAGAGTTCATCCAGCTGTTTGAAGGCAAAGCACCCTTCCCATGTGCTGTATAATAAAATGGCACCAGATTTTGCTGCAACCAGCCCAAATGCATAGAATATTGCAGAGAAATTAAAATTATCAAATTCATCTCTAAATGAAACAATGATACAAATAATTTCATTTTAAAAATAAATGCAAATATTTTTCTTGTTTCCAGAAGAAAGAATGCAGCTGTAAAAAGTAACTCTTTCCTATTAATACCAGGACATATGTAATCCTTACCTTCACAGGTATACTTTTGTCAAAATCAGGGAAGTGAACAATCTTAATTAGTTTTGACACATACAAGATAAGTATAGTGACTATCATCTAAACAAAAAGAAAAAAAAACAAGAAATCATGTAAACACAAAATTGTGATGTATGAATGAAAAAACCGCCTCAAAGACAAAATCTTATATGAATTTGACAAATGTATTTTATGTGTTTCTCTAAAATAAAAACACGGCATGCAATTAATAAACTAAAATAATTCCACTCTTATCAATTTTTCCAGCTATTTATTTAAAAGTAAAATACACACATATATTTTACTATCCTAAAGAAAATTAGCAGCASTCTGTGAAAGAATGTATGCTGAGAAGGAGCTGAGAAAATAAAACAGGACATAGTCCCAGATAAACCACAAAATTTTTACTCAGAAAGTTGTTTAGTCTGCAGAATCACTCATARAGCTTTTTTTTGGTAGTGAAAGATGAAGTTGTGCATTGATCAGTGTATTTAACAACATGAGGAAGAAATAGTAAAGATGCAGGCAGAATGAAGAAGATCTGAGCTATAATACATCATAGGCATAATGCGGTCGCCAAGGAGTCAAAAATAAGGCTCAAATTTTCCTAATACAAAAATACAGTTAATCGACTGACTAGAGGATGAGGCAGAGTCATGTTCTGCAGACTAAAGCTTTATACCCTATTATATGCACTTTACAAAATGTTCAGGGAAATCTTGGAAGGATTAAAAAAAATGGAAATGCCATTAAGTCTTAGGTTCTGCAAAGAACACATGAATTATTAGCACATTTTCTAGTCTTTCACTGAAACATGATCTGTGGTTTGTGGAGCAGTCTGGATGTGTAAAAGTCTCTCTCAYACATCACAAGGTCTTTACAAGACATTTACTCTCTCCAATACCAAACAGCAGAGATGCCAGACTTGCAGTATCCTGTTTTCAATTCTTCCTCACTACCTTCTGGCATGCAATCTTGGCAGAAAGTAAAGTCTCTATAAAATGTATTTGCCTAAACAACACCTGCTTCAAGGCTCAATCTTTATCAGTGATCCYTCCACAGTGACGCATTCTTCTTTATGGACCCAGTTCACAATCATTTGAACTTTGGTTTTACTATAATGCCTCCTAGCAACAAAAATAATAAAAACCACTTCTGCCTCAATACTGCAAGCTTACCCATAGGCAATTAAAGCAATAAAGAATCAAAAYTGTGTGCTGGTCCTACCGGAAAACAGCTGGGAAATGGGGAGAGAGTTATGAGGAAATACGTGGTACAAGCAGAGGCAATATCTTTGCATATGTCCACAAATGCTCAAGGATTCTCACAGGATGTATGCACTTGCTAGGACAAAGCTGGACAGTTTTGAAGACCAGATCTCTTAATTATTGAAGTTTACAAGGAGAAATAAATGGCATTCCAGTCCTTTATGACTTTACAAGCTTAAAGTTGCCCGTTTTCAATTTAAAAAAATACAGTTCCTTACATGGCATCTAATCCAGAAGACAAGCAGTTCATAATAACTGTGATTTTGCCCCTTAGATCTACCTCTATTATCATTAGTTTAACTTAAAAAATAATGAATACTTTTAGTATGCTTTACTCGTGAACATACCTGTCCAATTCCAAGAAACATTGGTGATGGGAAGCTGAAAAGCATGAACAGATATTTAGTACTGAGGAATGGAAAAAAAATTATGAGAAATAAAAAGATTTAATTCCAAAGTCAACAACTGAACACAARGATGACTGACCTGTGTTTCAGAAAAGCTCAGGATTGACTACACTTACTGTAGTAGCAGTATTTTATTTCTGCAGTCCAAATAATACAGGCCATGCACAGCTGATCAATTCTGAACTGATAGTTGTTTGGGGAATATTTGTAAGTGAAAGTAACACACTTASAGAACTCTTAACGCATCATTTCTTGAGTATCCTCACATATACATTATAGACCCTGAGATGGGAYAATAACTCATCTGACTAAAGCTCTTTTAAAGCACTTGTTCTAACTTGGAAGCGTATCTCCACAGTACAAACATACTRGCAATGTTTTTGTGAAAATCAAGTTCTTAAATAAATGTTGTAGAAACATCTATTGTTTTCTAAAGCAGCTACACTCCTGCCATAACCTTTCAGATGGCTTCAGCAGAAAGCATGGATGGAATCATACAGTGGTTTAGGTTGGAAAGGACCTTGAGGATCATCTAGTCCCAAACCCCCTGCCATGGGCAGGAACACCTTCTACCATTCCAGGCTGGTCAAAGCCCCATCCAGACAGGTCTTGAGCACCTCCAGAGATGGGGCAGGCACCCACAACCTGTCAGGGCAACTTGTTCTGGTGCATCATTATTCTTACAAGAAAGGATTTCTTCTTCCTAGTATCAACCTAAACCTGCTCTCTTTCAGCTTAAGTCCATTCCCATTTGTCTGATCACTATGTGGCCTTGTGAAAAGTCCTTTCCAAGCTTTTCCCTTTARGTACTGGAAGGCCACAATAAGGTATTCCTGGAATCTTCTCCAGCTGGACCACCCTGTCTCTCTCAACCTGTCTTCCCAGGAGAGGTGCCCAAGTCCTGGTATCAGCTTAGYGGCCTCCTCTGGACTAGTTCCAACAGATCCATGCCTTCCTCATGTTGGGGGCCCAATACCTGGATCCAGATGGGYTCTCACCAAAGCAGAGGGGCAGAATCCCCTCCCTCGACCTGCTGGCCATACCTCTTCTGATGCAGCCCAGGATATGGTTGGCTTTCTGGGCTGCAAGCACACAGTGCTGGTTCATAATAAGCTTTTTGTCCACCAGCACCCCCAAGTCTTTCTCCCCAGGACTAGTCTCAACCCACTCTCCATTCAGACTGTATTTGTGCCTGGGATTGTCTTGATACAGGTGCAAGACCWTGTACTTGGTCTTGCTGAACTTCATGACATTTATAGAAACTACYGTACTCCTACCTGTTGTGCTGAGAAATGTACATCTCAAATGAGCACAACTGGGATGGGARCAAAGCATTGGCAAAAGAAACAAACATGCTGAATCACAGCAGGAAGGCCAGGAGAGCACTACAGTCCTAACAGAGAGGTAGGAGCAACCCATGTGAAAAGAGATTCAGGGAAACAGAGGTAACGCGGGGGGAGGGGGGAGGAAGGGAAATTTTAATCATATGACACATAAACTGTCATTTGTTTAGTACTTACAGGTACTCCATTATAAAAATTGAGAGATCACTCATCTGTTCTACAAAGATTTCTCCAGACAGCTGTGATTTGCAGAGGCCTAAGTATTTCAAGCAATGCTCCAAGATCTTTGCACAAAACTTAGGCTTACTGATTATCTTGATTATCTCACAGAGCTGTTCTACATGTAYGCCCGTGACTTGCAGGGAGTGGCAGGTTGTTGGATAAAGGCCACTATAAACCAAAATCTCAACGTGCACCATGTATAATCTATKATATTATATACAGCTACTATGTATTCAAATAGCACTGAATATTAGAAAATGACAGAATTTGGTTAGTTAAAAAAATAAACTTTTTTCATTTTGTCATTTCTTTTTCTTATTATCATTCATGCTGAGCTAAACCATAGCAAAAACAGAGCGAAGATTTTAAGAGAAACATACTAATGGAGAGAAAAATYGCAGTCACAGGACAGAGAACCATAGAATATCCCGAGTCAGAAGGGACTCAAAAGGATCATCAAAGTCCTACAAGTACAAATCTATGTCAGAAAAAYGTGAATTGGTCATAAATGCTCAGGTTCCTCTACTTCCCACAACTGCAAGACTAAGAGTAAAATGCAAAGTGTAAGAGGTCTGCAGTTAATGCATTTGCTTTACACCATGTAGAGGAGGCTAATTATCACAATGATTCCACATGGGAATTAGCGCTATAAAGTGAAAGACGGAATCTTTCCGTGTTTTTATGATTAAGCCGTTTTACGACGTTTACTTTTAATTTCTGGCTACCTCAGAAAGAAAAGTTGCTGGCAGGAAGATACTGTTTGGCAGGAACACTTGGCTTTCCCTCACGGTTGTCTGAGGTGGTGCGATCCCCTGGGAATAGCGATAAGCTGTCCTGAGGGACAGACTCGCCTGTCGGAACTGTGCCTGCYATCGGGCGGTGCTGCAGATCGGTACATAGTGGGCACAAGTGGGGTCTGAAACTGGAGAAATCGGCCCGGTTCGCAGCACATTACCCACTAGCTGGCAGCCTGGGACCCGAGCCGCACGGACGCCCGCGGGTCACGCCAGAGGGAAGGGGAACGRGAGAGGGAACGCTTCCCCGCTGGGCAGGGGCAGCTTGGCACCGCCTGGCACCGCTGTACCACCACCCGGGCAAGGGCAGACCCCCCGCCCGCTCCGCCGCTCACCTGTAGGCGCTGAGGAGCGACTTGTTCACCAGCACGATGAGGAAGGAGCACGTCCCGTAGAAGAGCGCCGAGAGCACCCTGGGCAGTGCCGGCGGCTCGGCGGCAGCGTCCGCCTCCTCCTCCGCGGCCTGCCCTGTGCTCATGGCGGTGAGGAGCGGCGGCGAGGAGGGCCGCACGGCGGGCTGCACCAGGGCAGCTGTGGGGCCGTCGCTCCTCCTGCTGCTTCTGCCCGGCCCGTCCCCGACCAGCGGCGGCGGCGGGACCCGGGCGTGGCGGCCCCGCGGGCGGGACTGGAGTGGCGCCGCCTCGCCTCGCCTCGCCTGCGGGGGGCGCTGCCGGGACGGGGCCTGCGGGGAATCCCGAGCGCCTCAGCACCATCCCCGCCAGCATCAGCATCCGGCACCACCCTGCCGTGGGATAAACCTGCCGTGGGATAAACCTGCCGTGGGGATAAACCTGCCGTGGGGTCAAACCTGCCGTGGGGTCAAACCTGCCGTGGGGTCAAACCTGCCGTGGGGTCAAACCTGCCGTGGGGTCAAACTTGCCGTGGGGATAAACCTGCCCCGGGGTCAAACCTGCCGTGGGGGTAAACCTGCCGTGGGATAAACCTGGCGTGGGGATAAACCTGGCGTGGGGATAAACCTGCCGTGGGATAAACCTGCCGTGGGGTCAAACCTGCCCCGGGGTCAAACCTGCCGTGGGATAAACCTGCCGTGGGGTCAAACCTGCCGTGGGATAAACCTGCCGTGGGGATAAACCTGCCGTGGGGATAAACCTGCCGTGTGATAAACCTGCTGTGGGGATAAACCTGCCGTGGGGTCAAACCTGCCGGGGGTCAAACCTGCCGTGGGGATAAACCTGC